AAATACATTTATAAATGTCCAATGTTTGTTAATCTTTACCAAAACCTAATTCTTATCTACGTTATGTACGAGTATAAATCATTAACTTTAAATGTTTTTTTGTAATTTCATTAAATTATTATCTGCTCTTTTTGCATTTTTATTAGAAAAAATAGATATGTAACTTATTAAAGGCATAGTATTAAAATGTATTTAAGTATTATTATATTATTTTGCAAACACATTGTTTCTATCATTTTTTTCATTTTTTTCATTTGTTCGTACATTATTATTTATTATAAACCAAAATTAATTACAATTCTTACAGTTATAAAATATACATTTTTTTATTTAAGTACCTAAATATATAATATATATATATATACATGTACATATTTAATATTGTTCCTGATAATCAAGACACTTATAATGATAATAGCTTAGGCATAATGATTAATTAATTTTCAATTCATTTAATTTTGAACAAATAAAGGAAATCTGATTGATTACTGCTATGATAAAAAACACCAAAATTGGTTTATAAAATATGATATATTATAATATGCATAGATATAGGCTTGAAAGCTTCCTATTCTAGTTCAGAATGATTTTATATTATTGAAACTATGATTTATTAATGATTTTCCACGCATGGTTTGATCAAAAATAAATAGTTTTACTTTTGTTTAAGTGTAAATTAAGTTTAAAAAAATATTTACATTGGTTTGACACATATCAGTTAAATAAACAAATATTAAATAATATTTTACAGTAAGATTAATTTTTACCAACATGACAAAAATAATTCTGATGTAAAGTAATTCACCAAGCAATCTTACCCTCTTTTTCTTCAATAGTGCTATTATTCAAAAACTGATTTTTGGAATTTTGAAGTATACTTGAAGACCATATTTTCAAATATTGAGATTATTTGTTCTACTTAAGAATTATCTTATGGAGATACACCCTTCTGTTTTTCAAAATACGAGAACCCCGTTTAATACTATAAATTATTTTTATGATGATACATTTTTAAATATTAACGTATCAAATTCAAAATTATTCAAACGAACATTTTTTGGCTTATTTATTTAACTTTGTATACTAAAGATAAATTATAAGACTATAATTATGAATACTTATGATATGGGAGCAATGGTGACTAAAAAATGTTAGTAATTAATATGAACTTATCAACATCCATAATTTGTAAAAATAGTGCAAGTATAAAAAATACTACATCCAATATTACATAATATCTCCAATATTTTTGTAAAATTATTTTTAAGGACTAATATCTGTATTACATATGATGGACATTTTAATAACTTAAAAATTACTTTTTTCAATTTTGAATACAAAAAGTCTCAAGAATTTGAAAGGTCTTTAAATATTTTTGAAAATTCCAAAACCAGAATCTGAATAAATTCATTATTAATGGAAAAATCGGAATGAATCACCTTGTAGATTGACTAACCCATTCTGATGATAAAGTTATTTTTGAACATAAAATTATTATCTGGAAACTTTGAATAACTCCCATCAGCGGACACGGTGCTTCAATTGAACTTATGCTTAAAACTTTCAATATTGTATGAGTTTAACAATAACAACATTATCCTGTTAACACTTTGTTGGATACCTTGCTACTATTAATATCCGACCATAGGGTATATCAGTTATTTAGAACCTTGTAGATGTAACTTTAATTTTCTCAATAGTTTTCATAATACATTCATAAAAAAATATTTTTGAAGGATATGTCATGACGTTTTAAGAAACAAATGAGGTCTTACCAATTTTCGCGGAAAATCGTTTTCAATGTGTGCATTTTTCTTAAACAACCCGTATTAAAATATATCAACAACACTCCCCTCGTTGAAATAGTTTTCTGATTTACTTGTTGTGAATTATTTTTTTTATTTTACATTCAAATAAACTCAAACTAACGAGAAAATGATGACAGGTCCGTAACTAGCATGATAATATAGGTGGGGAAAAATAAATTTAAATTACAGTTTACTATGGGTAATTATATATTATGATTTGTAATTTTTTTTAAATTATAATTTATCATATTTTTATTTTGTTTCGACGAAATTATGAAATCATTCTAAACCATTTGCAAATAGGACACACCAGACCAGATTAACCAATGGATACATAATTGTACCTATGCGTTGGTCACTTGTGTGCCAGGCTCCTGGTATCAAGCTAAGAAAACACATCCTAACCGAAAGACATAAAGGTTCCATCATAACCTAGTCAGCCTTGACATATCCGTAAACCTCGACTCACCCGCCGAACAGTGACCCAAGATTTTTTAACTAATTAATCATTGAATTTCAAAATCAAGTGATTTGTTTATGTAGGTAATTGATCCAATCTAACATGCAATGCCCACTTTAATCGAACTCAAATCTTAAAACATTTTTTTTTATTTTGGTTTATTAAGCAATATTACATTCATTGTAAAATATCGACTAACCTCATATCAAAACCATACCTATAGAATTCCAATGCGACTAAAATTATACATTGGCACGAAATTTAAAAATAAAAAAAAAAGGTCAACCGCAAAAATATGTACCAGCGTTGTCATACTAAGCGGTCGTGTAGCGACCGGGGGGGAGGTGTGGCTCGTAGAGTTTCTACTTTCTAGTATAGGTATCTGCCGACAGTTTCGGAGTGAGATGATCACCGTCAGCAGCCTTTAGTGTAACGTAGGTACAATGCAAATTCGGAACGACGAACAGTATAATAAACGTGATGCGGTAAGTAGGTGGGGTACTGATCGTCGTCGGTTTCCTAGCGATGCCGGGACGTCGCCAAAAGTCGCTTTCACAAGTCCGTGACAGATAAGCAGCGCACCGCTGTTACTGCAGCCCCCGAATGACGTTCGCTGTTCCGGTTACCGTATTTTACGGTCGCGGGGTATCGTTTGAAGTTCGAATTTCGCGATATTTTCGGGAACCGGCCTAGACCCACATCTCGCCCGCCGCCGCTGCGGGTTCAGAAATACAATCAGCTCGATTCAAAAATGTAAAAAAAAAATAATAATAATAAACGACGAAGAAACTCAACGCGTTAAACCCAATAATAATGTACGCCCAACGCTCAACGGAAATAAAAGTCATTAAAATTTAAAACCAATGCGCATACTGTACGTATACCTCGCCATAAATGCGTGTCGGCGACGTTTACCTTAGACGAAGTTTGATGTAGGTAGTGGCCGCGAACAGTTGCAATTTATAGTTGTTTGCTTTTTTTATTATTATTATTACGCACCTCGGTTAGGGATCAATTTTTTTCGGGGTAAATATCGTTCAAGACATAATAATATTTGAATATTACGTTTTATACACAAGACGTGTATTTCAAAAATAAATATCTCCGACAACACTCGTGTTACACACTGTTATCAAATTATTATCAAATATTATGATTTATGAATACACGTTATGAGTATAATAATATACGATATGACGTATTATAAGAGTATAATATAGAAAATATAGTTGTCAATAAAAATCAATATTTAGACGAACTCGTAACAGATGAGCTTTATAAATAATAACATTATAATCGGGCAAGGCGAATATAAAAAACTTTTGACACAGTTAATTATAATACATTACACGAGTACATTGTCAATGAACTGTAAAAAAAACGAATTATTTATAGACTTTTTGGACTCAAAAAAAAAAATTTATAAACCATATGATTAAATCATGTGTGATTTTACCAATAGAATAGCGAGAAAAAAATTCTGATTAAATTGTATTGGCAACAACTTATAAAGTTAAAACTTATATAATATGTACGTATTATAATAAAGATGGGTATGAATATGGATGTCGATTTTGATAGTTAATTTGTAATCACAAAAAATAAATAAACCATTGATAAAATGAAGATTATAGTAAAATTACATTATATTATTATTATATTATATTATATTATATTATATTTTATTATATTATTATATCATTATTATTTTGCTATTTTTTTTATTATACAAATGTAATGATACTTTCTATTTAAATTTACCTGAATGTTTCATTTATCGTTTTATCCGTCTATAACAATAAACTTGGTCTATGGACATAGTTAAAATAACCGAACTTCTTTTTAATTGAGTGAAGTTAGTCTTTTCCTCCACCATATTAACTTTAAACTTTTAAAGTTTATTATATCGACTGTTAACTTATAATTTATAGTTTAGCATTCGCTTAACTTAACTAACTCGAGTCAATTTTCTTCGTCAACTTGACCGTCTTCGGAAAATATTAATTACCATGAAATCGATTGGCGTTGTAGTGTTATATTGTCTATCGCTATCTAAACTTAGTATAAATTGCACATAACAGTATGATGTAGATAGAAAATTTAATTAGCTCCACGTAGGAACCTCTACACAAACGTGGTCGTTTATCATTTTTCTTAAGATATATACGTTCTGTCAACTATTCAAATAGGCTGTTCCATTCAAAATATATCTCTCTCACTATTGCCTTTGATGCCAACAAATTTCAAGATTCACAAAGATTTTGTCGTGTACATAGGTATTAGGTATATATTGCGTAGGCACCCACCTACGCATTATATTCTGTGTACGTTTTCAAAAGATTGACCGACCGCATGTTATTAAATATTTATATTTTCTACCTTCAACGTATTCGCAGGTTGTGTACTGTTAACAGGAATAATCCGAATTTATATAATACGCTTATACATTCAATATCAGATATTTTCTAGTACACAAAGTAATGCTTTTTAGACGTCTACCATTATTAGTGTATGATTATGTATGCATTATATATAAATAAAAAAAACATCAAGCGTATATATTTCATATATTACATAGTACACTATGTATATGTGTATAGGCTAAAAGACTTACAGAATAGATAGTAGCTGACAAGTGTACATTTTTTACTACGTGATTTTTTTTAAATATTTTATGTTCAGACTTCAAACAGATGCATTTTGTATTTATTATTATTAATGTTATTTTATAGACTGGATATCCTGACGCACATCAAACGTCCAGGCCATCAACTTCCGGGAACGTCAGGAGAGAAGGATTATGTAACGGACAGGTTCACAGCAGCAGAGAGTATGAGTCTCCCGAAAGTTCAGTGGCGTCGGATAGAGACCGGCAAAGAAGTAAGATAATTTTGATGTTAAAAGATTTTAAGTTCATAATCTGAATAAGTCTACACTTTGAACATTTAAACACGTGTATTTTCTGTTATGCAATGCGAATAATATAGGTATTATAAGTTTCTTACCTTTCTCAACTACAAAGTTATTCTTGAGTGTATGCCACGAAATTAAGAGTGTCGAAGTTCGTAAGCACAAAACACAAAACCCATTTATTATGATATGCAAATAAATGTATTTTCTATTAAACGAAAAAGTTTTTATGTCGCGTACGTGTCTTACGCTATAATAAAATATTATACTATTTTAATATTGTGATTCGGTATCACTCTTAAAATTATAATTTATAATAACCGTGAAATAAATTATATTTTGTCAGTGTCTGATAAAATATTATATTTTAGTCGTGAGAAAATCATTGAATAAATACTAACGTTATCAAAAGTGGAAATTATTACAAATCATTTGATAACCGACCATGATACCTGTCCGATAAATTTTATTGGCAGATACGAGCACTTGTAATTTATCTGGCGTTATAAAAACATATAGACCTTAAAATTCGACGAAGTTTAATTTTTTTTTTCTTTAGCATTAAAATCATATTATGTGCATTACACCTACTTCAAACGAAATGTTATTGTTATAAAACTTGAGAAAGCTTCAAATCTTGTATTCATGCTCTACCTAGGGTATTTATTTTGGTTAATTCTTGGTTGTTTCCACGACATATATTTTAGAACACAACATGTATAGTTATACCCTTACAACTTGTAAAATGTAATACAAAATATAAATATGATGACATTGATAAATCCAGAAACCTATTTATTATAACTGAGGTCAATAGTCGGCATTAATCACAAATATTTGAACGATTGTCAAACAAATTTATAAACCATGTAATTAAAAATAATTTGTTATTGAATAATGTTTATTTAGGTACTTGTTTGTTTATTGTGAGTTGTGACCCTAAAGTCCGATTAATTTTATGCTCAAAGTGTAGCTCGGAAATAATAGTTTCAATCTCACAATAGCTTAAGTTATTTTATAGTTATATAAAATAACAATTACAATTTTTGGGGCAGTGTAATGTATATTTAATAGGAAAACTGACAGAATTTCATAAAATGGTATATTTTAATGTTGTATAATTAGTGTAAAAATATGTTGAATCTATAAAGAGATCAAATGAGACAGTTTAAATATTTTAGCACTGATTTAACCTAAAATTGAGTGAAACACGAAATTGAAAATCTGTACAGGTCACTTAAATTATGTCATTATTATTTATTGTACCTATCGACTTTTTGTATTTACTTTGCATTATTCTATATATTATTATGGTGATGAAGTTTTATTTATTTACCATGTATATCTATATTGGATTAGATTGTTTTGGTTTGTTTGTAGGTACCTATAAGACTTAATTAAAAATTATAACTCAAAAAGTAATAAAAAAAGCCAAACAACAAGTTTTAATTTCAGATGGTTATAATATGTTTCGAGGTGTTAAAGCTTTATAAACTGGGATATTGGTTGTTGACTTTATAGCCAAAGTTGTTCTAAATCATTCTCTACGCAATCCAGCGGTAATACAAAAAAAAAAAAAGAGGAAGAAAAATAATAAAAATAAAAACTAATCAACTAAATCCTAGAAACAAACTTAAAATCCTTTTGTGTTTATTTAATGTTTAAAAAACACTATGTTTAATTAATCAAGACTATTGAACAATAAATATTGTGAGTGAAGCTTTAAAAAAAATTGTATTAGTATTTTATTGTATGTATTATACTAAATTATCTATGTTATGGGTACGATTGACAAGACCTACAATTGTTATTATTTTTTAACTTACTTATCAAATTCTAAAATTATTATTTCTATAAACTTCAAGTTAAAATCTTAAGAATAACAGAACTCGTGAAAAAAAAAATTCATTGAGTTTATCGTGGACATTAAGTATTACGGTTTGCCAAATTATATATTTTACAAAATAAGTGAGTTTATTAATTGTGAATTGTGAACTACTCATATATTAAAATTCATAATAGCACATCATACTTTTAGGGTATGCGTAACAATATAGTTAAAAATCGTATATAAAACCCTATCGGCTATTTTCTAGCTTTCTTTATCAGGTGTTAAAAACAATAAACACATTTATTGCACAGAATTTACAAGTAACACGTGATCAGTTTAATTATTTAGGTATTTTATCAAAATATTTTTAAGGCTTTTTTTTATTTGTAACCCATAGTACCTTATTCATAGTAATAAATTTTTAAAACTGTAGATTTGATACTATTATTCTTATTCAACATTTCCTTTATTTCCCCGGCGAATTGATTATTTCAATATTTTACTATACCAGCTAGAGTTGTCACTGTCAGTTGAACTAGGATGTCATTGAATAATTTAAGAACAGAACTGCACATTATTTTCAAATGAAATAACAATGCACAAGCAACGTGTAAACTTTAACATATCAATATAATCGTATTATAATGGTTAATATAGTCGATCGCGTTAAAAATATAGCTAATAAATCACCAAACAATCCACTTCAAATCTAAAATTAAAATAATATCAAATGCTAATTTTTTTCACATTTGTTTTGATTCGAATTGATAACACGGTCCATAAACGCGGGGTTTTTAGATCAAATATAATAAAAATAAAATGTGTTATACATATTTGTAACTCATCGTTGTTGGTCTATACCTTATGTTTTGTATAGTGGTGTTTTTCTTTAGCTTGGGCCTTGGACTCAAACGTGTTAAATAATATTTTAAATTTCATCTCTCCATTGTGTGATAAATACGTATATGTATCATTATGTGTGCATGTGCTGCATATATAAGCATATAACATGCATAGCATTTCCTTGACCATTCATTGCATTTTCCTAATAAACCGGAACTATTTTCCCAATAAAATATTAAGGACATTATATATTTCCTTAAATGGACCGCGTTAGTGCTTTTTAGATCCATTTCGTCTAAAGTTATTTATTTATTGCACGTAAGTACGGTCAGTAATTGAGTGTGGGCCCATAATGTGGAACCCAAATCAAAAGGTCTCGGCCGATGGCCTGGAAACTATTTCGTGGATCCGTTTATACATTGTATATTAGCGTTTAAAGGTGCCTTAGGTCCATAATATATTTAATGAGTTTACCAAACTATTAAAATACAGATTGAACCGCTTACGTGTAGAAGAAATTATAATGTGCTATGGTTGTTTAAACTAACATCTATTTTTAATGAATTACATTTTGGAGATTTAGTCCTGATTTCATTTAATATTCTAAGTTTAATACTTCTTAGCGTTGCTTGCAGAACCCGTATTTTGCTACATTGAAGACCTAGGTATGTGATGCCTCTGTGCAGCCACTCTGTAAATTAATAATTAGTCTATAATTACTTTTTGTCAAATTACTGTTAACATGTAATAACTTGAAATATTATTTCTATTGGATAAGATTCAACCAAAGCTAACACCGAAAACGGCGAAGAACCTCACATAACTTATATTATATAATTTTGTCTTACAGAATTCGTCAACGGGTTGAACTTAATCTTATTTTTTAACTTAAACAGTAGTATAATACAAGAAGACATAGTTCACTGTTCAATATTACTCAAAACAATAATAATAGTTGTAGCTTTGCTATGTAGGTATTCAAACAATAATATTGAAAAGGGTACCGGTCTTAATAATATATTCAATATTATTAACTATTAGGAATTATTAAATTTAAATATATTATCATTGATCATCACATATTATTAAAAGTCACTGTGGGTATTTATATCAATTTATATGAAATATATAATATTTTAGGTAATGTCATACTGGGCTCGTTTAGATTTCGAAGTTTTAACAAAATTAAATGTGATTTATACAATTCCTACCAACGTTCAAAAATAGTGAAATACATTTTTGAAACAGACTTATCTAATATAAAACATTTTGGTGTAAAAATATTCTGCCAATCGTCATTTTTATTATTTAAGTACTTATTATATGACGATTTAAATGTTTGATAAAAAAAAAAGTGATGTATTATAAAAGAATTATTGTAGCCGATCAACAAATCGTACTATTATAACTTTTACTTAGTTATAATATAATATATTGTGTACGTCATTTTTATTTACAGCTGTATATGAAATTCAAGTTCGACCGTGTGCTGGCATTGTATTGGTAATAATTGGCTTTGTCGTGTTGCTCATATGGATTGCTCTGCCAAGCTCGTCCGAACCACCTGGTAGTTTTTCATCTCATCGAGAAGAAACTTTTGAAGTAGTCCGGCGAATTCTTGAAGAAGTGCCATTAATAGACGGGTAAGTTTTGAGTACCTATACCACATATCTATTGAAATAAACCGTAATTCTATTCAATAAAACTACTATCGTTACATTCTTTAAGAACTGAAGTGTAATTTTTCAAAATTAATGATTTTTTTAGATGGTAATTTTTTTTTTTATGCCGTTACAAAAAATAATATTTCGGTATTATTGATGTCCGTGGTTTTCTTATCCTACTACTTTTTCAATCACAAATCACGGTCAATTTATTGAATGTCTAACAAATTGGAATAATTATAAACTGGAAACTGAAAACTAAAATATAAAATATGATGTCTATGTCTGTATTAAATATTTTTGTTAGGTACTATTATTTAACTTAATATGAAACAATTATTATGTAAAAGGTCCACTGCGTTTTTTAAGTTAAAAAAATCAACAATTTATTACAATAGTAAACAATTTAAGGTGAATTAATATTGTTATTTCGTAAATGTTTTAAATTATCACAATCGCATTGTACTAAATTTGAATGAATTAAAGTATATTTTATCCGTTTTATATAATATGGGGAATGTGTATTATACCTAATATGCATTTGCCCTTATTCGTAATCTTAAAAAAAATATATATATACCATTTTATCCATTACGTCATTATTTATTAGTTATTTGTAAACTCATTATCTTACATAACTGTAAAGAGGAAACGTTTTGAAGTTTTCATCTGCTTTTCAAAACTATGAAGAAAGTAAAAATATATTATGTAAAATAAAATTGTAATGATCCGCGAAAGTTACAGACCAATTTTTTATTATTCATCTCAAAATAATTTTTAGTATAATTTAAATCAATATTATATACACACAGAACACATATTTACATTTGTTTAAATTGCGTTATAACATAATATCTATGATTATATAATATTATAATGTACTTACGTATTAATTTTTCTCTTAACGATCAATTTTTATTGTTTCCGATGCAAAAACAAATCGTTTAACCTTAAGTCAAATTATACCATTTGTAAGTTAGGTACCTAAGTAAAAGTACATATATTTGACTACTTGATTTTGTTTCTTAAAAAACTTTTGTCACTTTTTTGGCACCGAAAGTTTCTTCTTTTGAACTTCCGCCTTTAATTAGCCAAAAAAAAGTTTGAACGTTAAATTATCTGTAGAGGTAATATGATGGAAGACTGCACTTTGTTCAAACTTCTGCTTCAAAACATTCAATGTTTTGTAGAACACTCGGTTGATCTTTTCTTGAATGCACACTAAATAATAAATACATATTATTTATTAACACAAAATAAGTATTATCACTGAATATATATTGTAATATTTAATCTCAATGGCAGGATTTAAAAATATATATAAGACATTTGAGAACAGTTAGCTTTATTTACATATTTGAGATAAATAACTAAAGCCTACTTTTACATGGCCTTTTTATTATATTTTATTATACCAGATTTATTCAAACTTTGCTTTAAGGTTCCAATGAGTATAGCCTTGGGGTCTATTATACTTATGATTATTATCTTATTTCATTCTAAAAGTGAAATGTTTAATTTTGGTTTCCTTTACTTTTTATTATTTTTTTCATGAGACATTGTCTTTTAGACAAATTTCCTGTAAATTATATTTTCTCTTTCCTCTACAACAATATTTTTATTTACCTACCTTAAATTTTGTTCTATCTGTATAAAAAAAAATTATTCTGAAAACTATAGTTTTAATATATATCCTATTATCGCTGTTAAAATTATTTTTATTATGATGAATTTCACTTTAAAAACATATTTATTGAAATCTTTGACCGTGAAATGCACATTTTTTAAGTTAAGAAGAGGTTGTGATAAATTCAATGAACCCCATTTAGCAAATCACCCGACAGAGAGTCATAAATTATTTGAACGTAATGTTATCCACCACACGTACTTGATACCTAAACACTGAAAATATATAATTTATAAAACCATTTTGAGCTTTTCAAATGTTGAAAAATCTCACACGTTTAATCTTACAAGTATCATAAAATCAAATATTGTTTACGCGTCATCTGGAAAAAAATATATGTTTTATATATTTTATATATATTTTATTTAACTATTAACTGATAAATAAAATTTTATCATTGCATTATGTTAAATTTTTATTTTTATCTACACGCTATCTACTATTATATCTATAGTTATTTTTATCTAAACAATATCAATATAATACAATTGATCAACGTATATAATATGTAGTTTGGTACCTATATTCAAATCAATTGACATAAACAAAAATACACAATGTTTACTCATTTTTACTCATTTTTAGTAATTAACTTAAAGGTAAATCAATTTTAACAACAATGTAACTAGACAATAATACAAAAGAAAGATAAGATATAAGATATGAGATATCGAATTTTTCTGGCATTGAACTTATTAACTTTAAAAAAAAATCTAGTTATAATTATATAATATTTTTATGTAGATATTACTTATTTTTTTAGTCTTATTTGCTATTAATTTATAATTAAATGAACTATTATCTTAGATTAAATAATATGCATTTAATCAACTACCTTTATGAATTATTTAGATTTAATATTTGTTAATTGTTATTGTTCTATACTTGTATTAATTATCTTTATAAATGTATTAATGTTACATTTATTAGGTAGTTCACCTTATATCACAACGATAAACAATTATTTAAATATGTATACTAACGTTTTGAGCCAATCAGATTTTTTGAAAGGGGGATATGATTTTTTGACTATTCTGAGACAACCGTCATACAGCGGTAAATATACTTTCATTGCTTTATCATTTATATTATTTTATATGTCAAAAATAACGCAATAGATAGGGGTATGACACCCCTACCTCTCCGTGAACAAAACACACCCTTGGAGCCAACCATGAAAGTTCTTGTGACATCGTATATTAATGTGTGATTTTATACAATGTGGATAATAACTATCCAGAAATTATTTCATAACATGAAATGTAATTTACTATAACCATTTTAAAATGCAAAAAATGTCACACATCAGTATCAAGTTTTTTGTTAAAAACAAAAATATTGAATTTATGTATTTCTTCAACTTTTAAATAAAAATAAATTAAATATGCTATATACTACACCATTTGACAATTAGAAAAATAATATGTTCTTTCAACTTTTTTCAAGTATAATAACTTATAAGTGGTCTTTGTTTATAAAATATACGAATTATGCGTAATTATTCATAAGACGCAAAAGTATTATTTTTTTTTTAATATTAATAACAATTTTTACAACTATCATTGGCTAAAAAATGTATCAATCTTGATCCAAAACATATATGGATGACCATTGGCCTTCTTAGACCTTCCATCTTGTTTATTACAAAAGGGCTTCGTTGACAGGGGATAACCCATAAATCATGCGAAACTTTTCCGAATTTCGACGCCTTTGAGACAATAGCGGAAACCACCGTATTAATATTTAAACCTTCTTTCTTTGGCCTATTATCAGATATCTTACAGCCTACAAATTCTCTTCTACTCCACAAAAACGATAAATATTCTCCTGAGGCACGTCTTCCACATAACCGTTATTCTTATGTACACCTATTATGTACAGGAAATAATAGTATACGTTCACGTTAAACTATTCTCGAGTAATGCCATTTCAAGGATACGATAAATAATATAGACCAGATTTCAATAATATTTTTATTTGCGAGTAATTATTAGGCACTGACTACAATGACAAACTGTTGGTTGTACTTAATTCATTATAGTGCATTACATCAAAAATATTATGTAATATCTGCAGCCGGTATCAGATATTTAGACTACAGATCTTAATTTTTATTAAAACTCAAAAACCGCTGAACAAATTGTGTACTCGGCATTCAATATTTACTCGTTTGTTTTTGAATTGTTGAAAACCAGTCAAATCGAAATATCTGCATTTACTTATTTAGACTTAATGCGCTGACACGAAACATCGTAGTTGTAGATTTACAAACATAGAAATAAATAAAAAATATAAAGGCTCGAATGAATTACTCGACTTCAAACCTTTTCGACTCGTATTTTATTTATGAATATTAAATGCTTTTAACGCCGGAAGGTTTATTTATAAACATATTGCTTATTTTTCATAAATATTAAGCTCGTGCAACTTAGTGGTAAATAAACGAGTAAAACGAGTGTACATTCACTTTTATCTGGTTCGTTTCGATCGTTGTATGGAAGTAATTATTAAAATATGCAATATTCATCTCTAAAATATATACTAATGTCATATTATACGAGTATAATGTCTTCCTTACGAGCAACCTAATATTATTATTTATTACAGTGTCCACTGTCCAGCACACATTACAGTAAACTGGGGGTCTGGCATCCACTCAGAATCATTTACCGAATGCAACGATTTATCATTTCTTTCAAATTCACAATAAATAACACAATAGTCCATCCTATGCTGGGGTGACCGACTCTGGACCATTGTCCAACACACAGTTTTGTGTCCTGTCCGGCTTTTTTATTTACAACTTTTAGATTGATTTTTCATTTGACAGTATTGTATTTTTTTATTTTCATTTTGCTGACACATTGTTCTTGTTGAAGAGCCTCAATGAGTCCCGTATATAGAGGATGATTACAACCAAGAAAACCGTTTTCTTTTATTGATGACAAAGACGTTCTTATCTTAGTTTTAAAAGTTTTCAGTGATTGATTATGCACGGCATCATCCCATTTTGTCTGTAAATCTTTCGTGAATTATATAAACTATATATAGGTACACAACTTTTAAATTTAAAAGTGTTATTATTCTTCTCGCTCCAAATACCTATAGATGTACGTTGTTTTATTTAACGTGTTTTTCATTCACTTCAATCTATATTGCTTTCAATATTCGTTATAAAGAACAAAATCAATTTTAAATATATATTATTTTTTTTTTTTAACCTTTCGTAATAATTGTTTTACAACGGTTGTAAATTGTTATGGATTTTGAGTAATTGTAGGTATTAAAAATC